ACCTGCATTGTATAGTAATAAGCTTACAATATACAAATATCAGATATAAAACGTCCATAAAAATAAAAAAATATTTATTTATTGGCTTAATTTAAGCAAGCAGATGTGACTCCGAATGAGCCTGAGTCTCTCAGTGGTGGTAAAGTGCTGCTACCAGCAACAGCAATGTGGATAAAGGTCCATGCAGCATCATCCAGGGCTGAAATATGAAAGAAATGCAGCTTCTGTAGTGGCCACTTTAGAGATGCTCTAAAAGCAACTGAATCCTAATAGGCTCCATCTTAAAATACCCAGCTAAGCTTATTAAGAGTCATGTTTATAGCTTGGTATAAAAGGTCTCAGTCACACAGGCCAGGTTGAAAAATGTGTATTCCCTAAACAAAAAACCTCCTTTGTTTGGAAGCTGCTGACATCACCCATAGTTTGCATAAAAGATGCCAACTTGTCTGACAGCATTCACCATTTCACTCTCCAATGTTGGCCGATCAGAAGGTCTAGAACCTAGGAGGGAAAAAGTTAACAAAGATGACAGTTTCTAAATGGAGGGACAGTAACTGTAACTCTAAGTGTATATTTTGTCTATATCCACCATTGTAGAAATTCATCTCATGTAAACAATAACGTGGTGCACAGGGCGACGTCAACAAGCCGCACACCTTTGACGTTGCGTGACTAAATCTCATTTTTCCTCATCCACATGTAAACGCAAAAACAAAGTTTTCGAAAATCTGTGGCAGGAAAATCCCAGTTTTCAGTGATCCAAAACGCCGTTTACATGTGGACGAAAGGCCCAAACGCAAAGAAAAAGCTGCGTTTTCAAAAATACCCGCGTACATGTGGACGTAGCCTGTAAATGTAAAATTGTATCAACTCTTAAAAGCTGGCTAACTAAGCTAATATAAGCAGCAGCAGCAGATTGAAAATTGTGTCTCTTAAATGACCCTGCTGTTTATAGCTGGTTAGCCTTTGTTTGTTTAGCAGTGTTTTGTGGCCAGGTTTGCAGATTGAGTTGCATTTTTGACACGAAGGAATGAAACAGTAAGTATGTCGAGTGTAACTGGTAATATTAGCCAGGGTTGCTGGGGCATTGAACAAGAACATTAAACTAGAATTAGGCTAATTAGCTGAAAATACTGAAGCCACCCATCAAACTCTTTTCATGTTAAGACTGTGAAATGTGAAATCCAGTGACAAGCCTGACATTTGGAGTTACAGCTGCAAAGCAATTTTTAAATCTCCTATTTGAGAAAGAGGTTAACAGTCAATTATTATCTGTCTCTAATTTTAGCCACGTGTAGCTGAGACGGTTATGTTACACTGATAACATTTGCTTGTCAAAAATGATGTTGTTCACGGTGTAGCCTGAGCCTAAAAAGCTACTGTAGAGTTTGAATAATAGGATGCGTGTCCCTTCCTCTTTCTCTCTCTCGCCGTCTCTCTGAGGGTATTTTAACAAGGTGCTGACAAGAAAAATGATAATGATGTGTCTGTCATGATGCAGAGCTGGGTAAATTTGTCACAATGGCAGGTGACTGATGGTCTAGGATCATCCAACGGCCAAACCCTGAATTCTTTCCCTGAACACACACGCAGACACACGTGTAGACACACACAAAAATCACTCAGCACGGGTAGCTACAAGCAGGTAAATCACTTTCTTCCTCAAGTTTATCCTCATTGTTCATGAACTGCCTGACTTTTTTTTCAGCCTGCAAGTGACAATGTCATTACAGTAACCTTTACAAAGTGTAAACTACTGTACTGTGACTGTAACTTTATATGTATGAAACCGATGCTGTGATCATTCTTCTTCTGCATAGCAATATGTAGGCTACGTCAAAGTATTCACCAAGGTCGTTACTGTTTCAATGCTACACAGATTTCTGCTTTAATGCTCGCATAGACACAATGTGATGCTGACATCTTAACATGCAAACTGCTTTTTTTTAATGTATCCAATAAAATCAGCAGTTGGTTTTCATTTGTTTGATTGCCAATATTTTAGTTTCTAATCTCATGGTGAGGCATTGTCAGTGTTAAGAGACATTTTAATGGTTCTGTAAAGCATTTAGAGCAATCTCTCTTCTTTTATTCAAAACGAAGGCATAGGCTATTTTCACAGCAGTTACTCTGATATGAAAGGGTAGGTAAAACCCAACTGTTATAAGGACATTATGAAGGTTATGCGCTGCGTTTACCCGCTATTTCATGTCAAAATGGCTGCTGTGGAAAAAAAAAAACTTGTGTAATCTAGATAGAACGAAAAATATTTCACCACCTACTCTTGCATAGTACCACTGTGATACTGTCTTTTAATACTTACAATATTAATAATTAAATAGGGTTAAAAATATATATAACAAGGTGTAAAGAGCATTGCATAGATTTGATATATTTAATCTATGTTATGCTTGACCTATTGGCTTATTTTATAGATTAAATATAATATTGAATTAATTAAATAATTATTCAACAAAAAAACCCACAACACCAAAACCATCATCTAACAAACAAACAAGAATAAAATTACCAAACTGTGTTTTACATTTTCCACAATTCAAAAGACACAACATATCTTATGGCAGATAAATTGTGATTGTCATTTTCTCAGCAAACAGGAGATGTGACGCAACTTTTAGGTGCCGAGAGAGAAAAGACCGAAGTCACTGTGAGTTTTGTGTTTGGTGACTGAGCAGACATGCAAAGAACATTTCCATAAATATTTAAAGAGAAAGTAGGAAAGCAAAGCTGTTTTCATACAGTGATGGAGTCAAGCTTATTAAAATCTGCCTTTCAAGGTTTAGATACACTAAAGTGCAATATAACACGTAGCCAGAACCTGATTATTGCAACAGGATTTTATTTCTATTAGTCTAAATGACATGTGTATTAAGTTTAATAATTTTAATGTCAGTAAGGTTGCAAATCTACTGACATTTAGCGAAGTCTATTATTAAGTATAACGTATTTCAGTATAAGAAAAATCCTTCTCAGGAAAGAAGATTAAAAAGAAAAAACTTCAAATGATAAATTATTCAAACCCAAAAAACTGAAAACACTTGGCCTGCCAGCAATTACCTGGCAAATAAACCAGAGGTAAAAACAAAATGTTCACAAATTTTGTCCGTTATTTCTGTGTTCTTCAATGTAATTACAGATCACATTTCCATGGTGAATATCAGACATACAAGGCATGTAATAAATGACATTATGATTTCATTTTAAGCCACAGGGTCTGTCTTACAGCAGAAGGGCTCTGGCACCATTTCACCTTGATGTTACTAACTACACCTGTGCTTTTTTCTGCCGTGACATTTCAAAATGACCATCATTAAAAATAGATGTTACAGGCATATTGGTACTATTAAGTATTGTGTGCGAATATATAT